CTGGCTTCCTTACAGGCATGTTAAGGTTAAATGAGTTAATATTCATAAAGTGCTACTACAGTGCCTAGAACTGGCCTTATGCTAACAAGAGCCTCAGACTGAAAAGATCGCTAAGAAATAGTTGCAGCACCAGTGTAGTGTGCACTGCCCATCTTTACAGGCTTTTATCCATGCTGGAAGGGGGAATTCACAAAATGTGTTGTTTCCTCTCAGGTCTTCCACTCTGTAATCCTAGACCTACTTAACAGGATTGTCAGAGACACATAGCAAGGACAGGCCTCCACTTTATAGCACTGGCTACACTTTAAAGATGAAGGTCCTGGGGGCTCTAAATGCCACACTACTATTCCCATCATGCCCTGCTCCTCTGGCCTCTAATAAGGTAGGTGCACTGTAACTATGAATCTTGATTACCTCCAAAAGGAAATTTTATCTATGTCCCAACAGACTATTTTTTTTTTCTTTTTTGAGACAGGGTCCCATAATGTAGTTCAGGGCGCCTTTGAACTTACTAAGCAGCCCAGGCTGTCCTTGAACTCCCAGCAGACCTCCTGCCTCAGCCTCCCAAGTGTTGGGATAACAGGCGTTCCCCACCACACCCAGCCCAGACTGCTAATTTTAATGATCAGGTTCAAAACTGGAATGAATTTTCTGATGTGTTTCATCAACTTAATCCCTTTCATTATCTCAAGCCTCATTTCTGGTTTTATATATTACAGTGCTAACCGTCACCGCATTATGTCTCCTTGCTCTCTTAGTCTGGCACAGAGGAGTCAAAGCAAACAACGCCTAAAGATATGGCAGCCACAATTTTGCAGTCACCATGATTCAACTTGTACAAACAAATAAGCACAAAGGGGTTATCTGTTGAGAGCCATTGGAAATAATTTTGGGGAAAAATAATTCCATAATTAAACTGTGATTAGAGCTTATCAAGGCCTACTATTCAAGCCAGCTATGTTATACAGAAACAACTCTTTGAGCTAGCTAGCTTCTGGTCACAGTTTAGACCTCAACAGTCCCAAGCTGGGGAAGATCACATCATCCTGGTTTCTTGAGAACAAAAAGTAACAATGAAAAAAGGAATTCACCTTAGGGAAAGGACAAACTCTGTTAACCTGCCATCTCTCCCCACCACCCTCAAGCAACAGAAGATCTTAGCATAAAACCACGGCTTCCTGATTCATCAGATAACCTCACCATTTTCCTCAACATAAACGTAACCAAAAATACCAAGGTTCTGGCTGCCTCTAGCCTTTTGTTCCTGTGAACAGCTGGTCACCCCTGATCCCCACTGCACCGCCATTTCATCTCTTGGTCTTTCTTCTCACCATGCACAATAATGTCTTGCAGAAAATTGGGGGCCCACTGCAGGGGTCCCATTAGACCTTCAACTTGCCCTCTGTCTCTGCTTCCCGAAGTGACTGAGATTTTGTGGTTGAGATTACAGGCATGCACCACCATGCCCAGCAAACATAACCATTTTGTAGTTAACTCATTGTTTCTTACCAATGCTAATGATTATAGTAGAGGCCATGATGAAATCTGGATCTTTTTGAGTGTCATTAAATTGACTCTCAAATACTTGCTGTTAAGAAAAGATGGGTCATTCACAGTTGGTTTTTGTTTTTGAACCCAGGGCCTTGGGCCTACTAGATAAGCATTCTACAACAACAACACTATAGCCACAGCCTGGGCCACTCATTTCTAATCACTCCACTGATATCATGCAAATTCCCTCCTCCAGATTATCCTTAAATCTTTGATGTAGACCTCAGACTGCAGGGAACATTCTTATTCTACTTGCCCCAGGGTTAACCTCATTCCTGGTCTATCAAGGGCCCCACATTAGAACCCATAGAGACTACTTCTGAGCCAGTAGTCTACTGGCCTGTTTTAGGAAAACCTTACAATAAATGTCTAAGCATTCTTGGGGGTCGAGACCATTATGGGTGGTTATAGTTCAGGGTTCTAGCTTTCTACTTTTTCCTTCCATCTCCTACTTTCTGGTAGCAAATAATTTCAGGGAAGCCAAGTATGATGGTACACATTTGTAATCCCAGTAGTCCAGAAGGCTGAGGTAGAAGGATTACAAATAGGATCAGCCTAGAGAACTTAGCAAGACCCTGTCTCAAATTAAAAGTAAAACATATTTACAGGGCATTGGATGTAGTTAGCTAAGGATTCAATTCAATCCCCAGTTTTTAAAAAAAAAAGTCAGGGAAACCAAGAGCCAGAAAGTCCATTGAAATCCTATCTTGCCACTATAACAATGACTTTCAGTCACAAGCACTTGGGTTTCTTTTGTAAAATGGGCTAACCTTCCCAAGATTGTCGTGATTCATGCAAACATCTCCTGGGGAGGTACCAGTGACCTTTAGCCTCAAAGTTTATGAGCTGTTCAGCCCAGATGTGCCTCAGTTTCTCCACCTTTAAAACTTCTGGCAAGAGTAGGCTACAGGGTTTCTGAAGTTCCATCTCTGCGATTAAGAGCTCAGGTTGTTTAATATTTACCTTACCTGCTTCAAGAGAATGTTGGGAGGATAAAGCAAACTCAAGCTCAGAGTTGTAGAAGGGCTTTGAAGAGGAAGATGCTCGCACAAACAAGGCATTAATTACATCGGATCATTTCTTTGAGCTCAACTTCATAGGCATCGAAATATTCATAACCCTGGGGCAAACAACAAGGCCAATTGTTCTGCTAAGTATGGAAACTGCTGTTCGGCTTGGCCACATTTTAGAGTTTACATGTGCCCACAGGATAACCCTTCCAACCTGGCTGGCTCTAGGCTGCAGGGGCCAATTTTTGAAAATGGGAAGCTGAAGTGGGAGGCAGAAATGTATCAGCAAATGCAGACCAAGAGGGAAAAGACACATATTGTTTTGTTTAGGAGTTTCAATGCATTTATTTTGAACTTTTAAATATATTTTTAAAAGGGGTCTCATTATTCTGCTCAACCTGGCCCCTGAACGCCTGGGTTTAAGCAATCCTCCTGCCTTAGCTTCTGGTGTAGCTGAGACCACAGGCCCCAAGTGCCACACTTGGTGGCTTGGGAACTCTCAACTTACTGGCATCAACTGGGTCCAGAAACTTGCTTCTACTTAAAAACCAAAGCAGCAGATTTTTCACAAAAGCTTGTTCTAAGAACCAGTCATGGTTGCAGGGAGACTCAGGGTGAGCCAGCAGATTAACCCATACTTTGTTTTATAACCCAGGTGTGTTCTTGGCACAAACTCACTGTTTTCCCAACCATACGCCAGACATCCGAGAAAGCTGAATTTCCTCAAAAGGTTTAAAATGCCTGACGTCACCGGGAAGAACTCACCAACTCAACCATGAAATCGAAAACCTGATCACTGCTTCTCCCCAACAACCTAGAGCCTAGTGAAGTAACAGCTAAGCTGGCTTTTTTTTTTTTTTTTACTTCAGTAAGACAGATAAGGCACAGACAACACTCAAAACCACAGCCCACTCTCATCAGAGTACAGCAGAGAACTTGATAAAGGGAAAGTAGAAGTATAAGTTTTGGCAGTGTGGTTAGCAATAAAGCTTCCTCAGGGAGCCGGAATTGGATTTGGGGCCCAGCCGGAGTGAACATTTTTACAGGTTGGCTCAGTTGCAGTTTGTTAGCCAGCCAGTAATAAACCCATGTGCAAAAATTTAAAGTTTATGAGGCATGGCTTCTTAATGCCTCTACTCTGTTCCCTACAGCCAAGGACTTAAGGAGCCTGGCTCTGCCTGGGTGTTAATTGTTTTGTCCATCTGCAGAGTTATTTGAGAAAAGAATTTTTTAAAAAGGCTTCCACAGACTTGAGGCCCTCAATCCTCTTTTGGAGAAACAAAGAAGAGCTATTCTGTCCCCTAGGCATTGAAACCCCATATTCAAGCTGTGGGCATTTATACCTTACCTAGGATAAGGAACTTGTTGATGAAGCACTAGAAAAATGCTAGGTGGCAGCGGTTCTTTAAATGTTTTAAAAGGCAGGTGAACTATAATCTCCCCAGGAAAATGCATGCACAAATTTTCTGGAACCCCTCCCAAGGATCCCGAGTTACACCCGTTTCAGAACTTGAGTTTGATCCCTTGTAGGACTGCCCTTGTCCTCTACACTTGGAAAGAAAGAGACCTCTCCTAGCCACAGCTGCTTGGGTCTCCTGACACACTGGTTCTCTGCACCAAAGTGCCCCCCCACACACACACACACTCGCAAGTTTTTGAACTTGAAGTGGGTAAATGAGTAATTGGAAGATCAAAAACGTGCTTTGATCTCTCTCATTCAACCTCTCTGTAGCCCAAGGCTTGAAGGCTTGGGACGCCACCCACCACCCAAGTAAGTTAACGTCCCACTCTCAAGACTCTGGAGAACAGGGGTGTCCCCCTAACGAGATGGCCCCAGGCCAGGTGTGCCAAGCTATCTGCAGGCAGCAAGGGTGCAGGCCCTCCGGGAAGAGCAGGGTTAAGAGTGCATTCCAGCCGCCGGGGAAGGAGGGGGGCGGAGAGGGGAGGGGAGCGCAGAGAGGAGAAACAGACCCGGTCTGTCAGTCGGAGACACAAAGCACGGTTCACAAAGGGGGCCCGACAGAGGCGAAGGGGGCTGCCCGGGGCACCGCTCATCCCCACACCTGCGCGGGGGTTGGGAGAGGAATGTGCACCACGCATTCCTCCGCTGGGGCTAACCGGAGACGGCTTTCGGCGTTGGGGCTGGGTGAGGGGCCCCTAGCAGCCGGACACGGAGGGGTCAAGGCAAGCAGAGGCTGCGGGGCAAGGAGGGACTGGACTTCAGAGGGCGCTACGATGTCCAAACTTCTCGGTCTGCTACTCACGGCCACCACAGCCCGAGATGTGCTTTCCGCGCCTTCCCGGGACCCGAGACGGTGCCCAAAGTCCCCGGCAGCACATGCCTGGCCATTCCTCGCGCGGGCCACTACTTGACGGACCATATGCAGACCCAGCACAGCGGATCCACCCGGGTCGGCTAGGGAGAAGAGATGGTCTTACCTTCCTCCTGCGCTGGGCCGGGCTGCACCTCTCCGGCTCTCGTCTCCAAGGTCACTCCAGTCTCCCCGAAGCCCGCCCCGCAAGGCTGAGAGGCGGCGCACAGCAGCCAGCAAACCTGTGCCTGAGGCCCGAGGGGGCAAGAGGGAGGCGGGTTACTGATTTGTCTGGCCCTCCACAGCCCATCCTTGAGAGTCCTTACGGAGCCTCCGGAACACGCAGACCCCAAGGACTGTAGCCCCATGCTGTCCCCGACGCCATCCCCACGCGCGGACCCCGCCCGCCCTCCAGGGAGCAGATCCGGCTAGGTAAGGACTGGGCACAGGAGTACCTGGTGGAGGAAGAGGAGGAAGGACGCGAGGGGCGCACGGAGGAAACCCATGGCTGGACAGCGAAGTGAAAGAGCTGCTGCTAAGGAAGGCCTGCGCAAAGCTGAGCTCCGCGCGCCCCTTTGAGCACAGCGATGCGCGGGAGCCGGGAGGAGGAGGCCAGGTGAGCCCCGGCAGGTGCTGATTGGCTCCGCGCTACAAGGCCCGCCCCTCGCAGGTGGGGCCGCGGCGGGGGTGTAGCAGTCTTCGGCTTAGCAGAGCGAGTCCTCGGTGGTTCCTGCTGCTGGTCCGCGTTGCTCCCGGCACAGACTGAACTAGTCTCACAGGTTCTGGGTTGCAGAACCCATTCCCAGCCTCCCGCAGCCCACGAAGACACAGGTTTCTTTGCCTAGCGGCTACAGCAGGAGAGATAAGGGAACAAATGTGAAGCCGGGTGCAAACAGGCCTCCCGTTCCTGCTCCTGGAGGCGGTCTGCTGTCCGGAGTCGTGGTGGAGGCCAGGTGTGTCCCGTATACCCAGCTACCGTGCAGGCTGCCCTCGGCCTCTCTCCACCTCTCAGGCCGGCCAGCTGGACTTGGAAATTCACACCGGCCTTGGATCCCCGGGGACCTCGTTACAGACTCTGATACAACTTGCTGGAGAATTGTTATTTCCGTTTCTCATTTGAACAAATGGAGGCAAGGAGAGAAGGCGCCAAAGTTTGGAAGCCACAGTAGTGCCATAGAGTTTGTAATAGGGGAATGGGTATTAGTTACGAGCCCCATAATCCCCAGCGCCCCCAATAAGATTTTCTCAACTTGATATAAAGTGTAAATAACAGCAATTTTTAACCAGTTTTTGTTGTTCTGAAATACTACAATTCTGCTTTTGAAAGTAGCTCTCCCACACCCTTCCTGGGAGATAAAACTACAGAGATGAAACGGTTCCCTAGTTACTCTTTCCACTCCATAGACTTCGATTTCCTCTTTCAGGAGTCCAGGGAGGCCTTGGGCACAAACACCATGAGGCACAGTCACTCCATCCCGCTTTCCCTTTCCCCTACCACGCTGAGCTTTGAAGACAGTCCCAGGCCCTGATTCCCTGAGCCCAACCCTCTTTCCCGGTTGACTTAATCCCAGAATGCTCCTCCTTCCTCTCCCCTCTCATCAACCCAGCTCACATTTAAGGATTTGAAGGGGAGTGGACTATTTTTCAGTTTTATTTCCTAGCAGGAATAGGGATTGAATCCAGACCTTCACACTCGGGCCCCTGCGCTTGCCAGGGAAGCACTTATTCCACTGAGCCATCTCCCCCCCCCCCTTTTTAAGTTTTATTTTGACATAGGGTCCTGCTAAGTGGTTATGTTGCCCAGGCTGGGCTTGAACACGCAACCGTCTTGCCTCAGCCTTTCAGAGTTAAACTGTAATTATAAACGCCTAGCCTTCAAGGACTGACCTGATAACCCACCCAACTTCCCACCACCAGGCCAGTAGCTAACAGTGGACCCTTGTTCGGTGACCAGAGTCTTCTCTTTCCTAGCACCAGCTCTGATCCTGCCCCTCCTGGCTTCAGTGCCCAGGTCCCACCACTTACTAGCGCTGTGACCTTAGCTCTACAATTGCCAGTGGTGCTAGTAATGATACCTACCCTCCAAAGTACTAGGATTAAATGAATTAATACTTGTAGGGGAGATTAAACAAATAATGGTAAAAACAAACAAAACCCCCACTACATTCAGTACCTGACACAGAGCAAGGCCCCAGTGCCACCTGGTACTATTGCCCCAGGATCCAGCTCATTAGGCCTTCGCTGCCTCATCAGTGGTTCGATCCTGTCTAGCACTCCCACATCCCTCAAGTATGAGAATAGAAAGCATTGGAATCCTTCAGTTTCACGGCTGAGGGTTAAAGCCAGCAATTGGCATCTGGTGCCTAGGGAGAGCTCCGTTATCCAGCGGCACGGTGTAGTCCCAGAAGCTGAGGTTGGGAGGTCGACTCCTGGCAGAACCCGACACACATGGAGAGCTCCTCCCCGCCCCGCCCTCCACTTCCTACCCCCTACCCGCATCATAGTCCTGCTAGGGGTCCCAATGCCCAATAGGAGGTTGGTGCCAGCGCGTGAAAGCGCTGCAGAATGGCACAGGCCCAGGCGGAACAGGGTGGCAAGGTCTATCTTTGCCTGGCAGGATCCCCCAGCCGGCCAGGAGCCAGCCGAGCCATTAGGCGGACAGTTAAACACAAATGAGCCTCGGGATACAGGCCCTAATTAAGTAAACACCCGGCTGGAGGGCTGTGCAGCCGCTCATTTCCGCCTCCTTCCCCGGCACTCAGCAGGGGTGGGGGTGGGGAGTCAGCCCTTCTGCCTGCGATTTGGTCCACCGTGCTAGCTTCTCCACAGCTCCCCTAGTCAGTTCGCTCATTCATTCATTTAACTGAATGAATTTCAGATTTGAAATTCAATTAAATTTGCTCACAGCCTGCTGGATGCCATGCACAGGGGACACAATGGTGAATGAAATGGACAAGCATGCCCACACTCGACTTGCCTTTCGTGGGGTGTGGGGTGGGGGAAGTTGAACGAAGTAAGCAATTAAGTAAACATGCAATGCCTTAGTGTGCTGTGTGAAAGAACAAAGGCAGAAAGGAAAGTACAGGTTCACCAACAGCAGGTAGGGCTGGAAATCAGTCTGACAGAAACAGAATCCAGCCCAGTGGTCAAGTCCTCATGGGAAGGACTAGAGAAACAGCAGAGTTCCAAAAGGGGTGTTGAGGCTCTAGAGACCAGCAACACTCGGAAGGCATTGCTATTTTGAGACTGAAGAGCAAAGAGGAAAAACGCCAAGGAGAGGGGGGACTTGAAGCACCCCACTCCGTGCAGCTGTAGTTGAAGATTATGCACCCTGGGAAGTTGCAGTGAAACAATCCCCAGCATCTCCTGCCCTTCATCCCCTGCTGCACATCCACCAAAGCACCCACAAGCTTGGGTGCAAGGAAGCGGACAGCACAGACTCCGTGAGGGCCTTTCTTCCCAGGCACAGGACATAGAATTTCTTTTGCAGTGCCAGGGGTTGCACCCAGAGCCTCATGCATGCCAGGCAAGTGCTCAGCACTAACCTACACCTCCTCCTACCTGGTGCCTCTTGGTGAGGGTGAGGAAACACCAAGAAAGCCCAGAGGCCTCACTCACTAGGGATGGGAGTTTTGAACAAAGACTCCAAGAAGTGATGGTACAAGAGTGATGGTACAGGAGTGTGTAGGGCAGGTTTCTAGCAGAGAACACATAGCAAATGCCTAGGGCAACAGATTACAAGGAACAGGAAAAAGATGCGTATGTGATTGGAGTAGTCATCCAGTAGATGAGTCAGAGTTTGGGAAGCTGAGAGACAAAGCTAGTAGTACCCCATAGGCCATTGTTAGAACCTTGGCTGGTGCTTCAAGTGGGAGAGGAGGAAGCAACTGTGGGAAGGAGGGGTGTTGAGAGCAGCCTTCGGGGAACCAGAGCGGAAGTGGGCAGGTCCACTGTGCTCTGCTGTAATCAGGTAAACAGTAGAACTGCCGGGTTTGGGTTGGTCCTTGTGAAGAGGGCAAGAAATGATCAGATTTTTAAAAAAGTGTGGGTGAGAATGTGGGGAAACTGGAACCCTTGTGATTTGTTGCTAAGAATGTAAAATGGTGCATCAGCTATGTAAAACAGCATGGTGGATCCTAAGAAAGTTTACCACACGCTGTATACATGCATGGAATCATCGTGCTGTACCCTATAAACATGTACAATTACTTCGTGTCAAGTAAGATAAATAATAAAATGATAGTGACAGTTTCCATACAATCCAGCAATTCTATTTCTGCGTGTATACCCAAGAGAAGTGAAAGCAGGGACTTGAAAAGCTATTTATATACCCATGTTCATAGCAGCATTATTTTCCATGTATATATATTACATATATATATACTCTCACTATCTTAAGCAGGCTGGTCTTGAACTCACTGTGTAGCTTAGGCACCATGTCAGGCAACACCAGCATAATTCATAGTAGCTGAAATGTAGGAACAATTCCAATATCACCAACAGATGAATGATTAATAGGTACAGTTGCACTTTTGCAAGATGAGAATATTCTGTGGATGGACGCTGGCACAGTAGCATGACAATGAAACAGGGGCCGGGGAGATGGCTCAGTGGAATAAGTGCTTCCCTGGCAAGCGCAAGGGCCTGAGTTCAGTCCCAGGTTCTGCCAAAAAAAAAAAAAAAAAAAAAAAAAAAAAGACAATGGAGGTCATTAATGCCACCAAACTGTAATGGGCTAACGACGTGAGGCATGGTGGTAAACGCTTGTAATCCTGGTGATTCAGGAGGCCATGGTAGGAGGATGGCAGGTTCAAGGCCAGCATAATTCTGTTTCAAAATATAATTTTATGAAAGGGCTGGGGATGTATCTTAGTAGTGGAATGAGTACTCACCTCGCACACACATGGCCCTGAGTTAAATCACAGAACCAAAGTAAAGATGGTTAGGATGATGAATTTTATGTGTATTCTACCACAATGTTTAAAATTATGAGAAAAAGAGAGAAGGGACAAGGCGAGAGATATTGGTTGATTGGTTGATTGGTTGATTGATTGATTGATTGATTCTGGGTATATTTGGAAAGTATCGCTCATGAGCAACCAGCAGGATGACAATGTTATTTCCTGAGATTGGGGAGGCACATGCACTAGGCATTATCAGGGCCCTGCGTAGATGTCTGTCTGTATTACTGGGGTCTGAACCTAGGACCTTCTTACTGAGCTACATCCCCAGCCCATACTCAGTCTTTATTTTGAAAAGGAGTCTTGCTAAGTTGTTCAGGCTTGAATTTGTGATCCTGCTGCCTCTACCTGCTAGGATTGAAAGTGTGGTCTACCACGCCTGGTTTCTGCGATCCTTTTTATGGTCTTCAAACTCTTCTCCCTTGGCTTCTGTGTGCAGATGCTCCTAATAGCCAGCAACTGTGACTCTCTTCAAGGGCCTGATCTCTGGCTACTAAATTCCCTTTCTTTCTTTTTCTTGGCAGAACCAGGGATTGAACTCAGGTCCTTGCACTTGCCAGGGAAATGCTTATTCCGCTGAGTCATCTCCCTGGCCCCATAGATTCCCTTTCTTTCAAGTTTACCTCCTTAGCCAGGAGCCAGAAAACAACTAGTACAGGAATGTGAAAGCCCCATTCCCTTTCTTCCTGGTGTACAACTAACTTCAAGATGGAACAAACACTCGAGAGCTTCCCTGTAGGATCAGGCTGACCCACCTGGTCTGCACTCAGACCCCTGACGGACTCTTGCCTTTCTTTATTCTGCTTCTCCCCCTCATCTACCAGTTCCTCCTGGGAGCACTTCCTAGTAAATCATTTTGGGTGAAAAGATTCTAGTCTCAGGCTTGGCTTCTCAGAATCTCATGCACACAGAGAATGCTTGGGACTCAAGGGCAGACTTCCAGGTGGGGCACATTTAAAGACACCTAACAGAGCATGTTGGGGAGACTGTGGTCATGTGTATCAGTCCAGGGGAAATATCCGGTATGGGGACATTGAATAATCACAGTGGTAATTATCAATTCTGAGGCAACTTGTGATGGAGGCCTTGCCTAGATAGAATCTGGGGCTTCTGGGGCTTTCCCAGTTATGTTAGCCTTCTGTTACTA